CTTCTTCCGTTGCTCCTTGCAAAAGCGCCCGAGAGCATGAAGATCAACGCAGAAGAAAGCAGCGAATCTGAGAACGAAACGGACGAGGAGGAAGATGAGGAAGGAGGCCTGTCAGATGAGTCTGCGAAAGAATGCCTGAAAAGACTGGAGGCCGGACAGAAGGACTCTCAGGACAAGGAGCCAGCCCCGAGCCGAGGGCACAAGAGTCAGAGGAGCGATGACCAGCCGGGGCTCTCCCTGATTGACCTGGAGGAACAAACCGCAGAAGAATGCGAGCCAGAGGAGACCAGGCAAAAAAGGAAGAGGAAACATAGGTGTGTTCCCTCGATGCATTGCTGGTTGCCCTCTCTGCATCGGAGCCTGGAGCCCCCCCCCCTCCCGGTTCCTCCTTTTGCTGCCAAGTCATCGCTGAAGTCTTGGGGTTTCAAGGTTGAGCGTGGTTCTCCTTGTGGGAGTCCCAGCAGCAGTTGCTGCTTTTTCTTCCAGCAGCTTCTCCCAGCCCTGTGCTACTGCCTTCTCTGTTTTAATTCTAGGCTGCTGTCCATCAACCTAGTGAACTGCAAATATGAAAGTGGTAAGTTAGGGCTGCTTCTTCAGTGGTTTCCTCTTCACACAGTGAGCATTGCCTAGGGCACAGACATGCAACGTTTTGTGTGCAAGAACAAAGAAACTGGCACAAGATCAAAATAATAGCTAGAGTTAACATGATTTTCTCCCCTGTAAAAAGAATTAAGTGTCCAGTTTTTTTGTGGGAGGGAGGAGGAGCACCACACCCAGGCATTTTGGGAAGGAACAGGCAATACAGGGATTCAGGTTTTGCATTCCAAAGGAGGATATAGTTTTAGTTCCTTTATTAGCTTTGTACAGTACAGCGGGAATGAGCCAGTAGCAGTGCAAGGACCCTGTACTCAGCAGCGCTGACTAGTCCGAGCCAAGAGAGCTGTGGGGTCCCTGGCATGGGAAGAGAGGATTCCAGGGACTCTCTTGGAGGGGACCATGAGGTTGAATAATCAGAATGATAATTCCTAATGCTCAAATGCCTGTAGCTTCTGCTCCTGCAGGCAAGGCCAAAAGATCATCCAGATGCCTTTTTGGAACCAGCTTTGTCCATCTGTTTATTTTGCTGCAGTTAGGCGTGCTGCTCGGCGCTGTGGCCTGAAAGAAGTGGGGGAGGATGAGGAGTGGACTGTTTACTGGACTGACTGCTCAGTTTCACTGGAGCGTGTCATGGAAATGAAGAGGTTTCAGGTACCCAGTACAGCCAGGGCAACGGGAGCTATCATCAACATAATGCAAAATATTCCTGTAGAAAACCCCCAGCATCCTTGACCAATTAGGCTCTGCGACACTATAGCACTGTTGGCTTTTACTGTTTCATGTGGCCCTACTGGGATTTGAGGGATAAGCATAAATTCTCTGGGGAGTATTCCTTACTCACCCACCCTCCCCCCCCACCAGTCAGCATACCAGTAGGACAATTCCCTGTCTTCTGCACCTTTGACTCTGCTGCATGATTTGCTTAACCTGGTTCTGGGGTCATGGGGAAAGCTGTGGGGTCCGAACAGTTGCAAGCCCCCTTGTGCAGAAATAGCTGGTTTCCTGATTTGTATACCCTGTTGGTAACATTTAGATCAGAATACCACAGTGCGTGGAGTATTGTGCAGAATGTAATAGCTGGGTTGGATTTTTTTTCCTGCTAAGAGCCTCCTGCAGGGCATGGGGTGTTTGGGGATGTGGCTGAATGGGAGCAAAATGAAAATTGGGTGGGCCACCCTATCCTTTTTGCATCCCCATTTCTGACTCTGTGTTATTCTTTTTTCTGCCACCTTTTCTCTCCCTTCCTTCCTACCTGCTCCCCAGGCATCAGGTTGCTGGGTAGCAGACAAAGAGCTCTTGGACCCAGGCTACCTTGCCTATTCCTTGGCTAGATCACTGTTTGTAGCTACCCAAATACTTATTTAATTTGCAAATCACTATTACACCCAAGGGAGCCCAGAGTGATGCTCAAGTGACTAGCAGCACTATCAAAACAGTGAAGATAATTTGTTTAATTGTACAATAATTAAAAACATTGCATCAACAAGGCAGCCCAGTCTGGCAGCAGCAATTGTTATCCTGTAAAGACTTAGTGAATAAATGTATTCTGAGTTGTTGCCTGGATATCTTGCTAGGATTAAGGAACCTTCATTGGCTTTTTGTCTGGAGAAAATTCAAAGTTCTGATTTTAAGCCTTGTATACCTTGGGAAGGGCGACTGCCAAATCATTAAGACTGGAAGCCTTCTCCTGGAGCTGAGGCTTGGTAAAGAGAGAAGGAGGAGGCCACAAAGTGGGCAGGGCCATGGCACTAGGATCTGGGGGTGTTCCCTGTTATGCTTGTTGTAGCGCTTATGCTACATATTTCATGTATCTCAAAATAGTGGAGAATGATCAGAAGAACCTCTGAAGGATGTAAAATAGGAATTCATATAGCTAGGTTCCTATCTATAATATTTTCTCATTTATTTGTATGTGGCACTGCACTTTGTTTAGTTATCAGGTGAAATTAATAAAGGTTGATAACATACATTTATTTTTTGTTATGGGGGTTAGGTTTTTTGACACGTATTTATGATTATTTTCTATCCTTAAATGTTGAAGCTATTTAGGAAAATTTATTACATGATTGAAAAGTGGGGCAAAACCTTCTGAAGGACAACGAAACAAAGAAGGATATGCAAAGGCGTTTCCATTTCCTTCGTCAGAGATCCAAGCAAGATCTTCCCCTCTTCTGCAGATTTCTTGTTTTTGCTTAATTTCAGAAAATCAATCACTTTCCAGGCATGGCAGAGATTTGCCGCAAGGACTTGCTTGCTCGCAACCTCAACCGAATGCTCAAGCTCTTCCCCAAGGAGTACAGCATCTTCCCACGCACCTGGTGTTTGCCAGCTGAGTGAGTGAGAGAGAGGCCACCACTTCCTCTGCGGCCCAGGAAAGTGGTTATGCCAGCTGCAGGGCACCCTCCCAGTCTAAGTGGCTGAGGAGGGGAGACTCTGGGGGCACATGGAGTTTCTTACATGCCAATCACGGTGTTGTCTTTGCACAGCTATGGGGACTTCCAAGCCTATGGGCGAATGAGAAAAAACAGGACGTACATTTGCAAACCAGACAGTGGCTGTCAAGGGCGGGGCATCTTCATTACCCGGAACCCCAAGGAAATAAAGCATGGCGAGCACATGATTTGCCAGCAGTACATTACTAAGGTAGGCCTAGGGGCCAGCAGTTGTGCAGCCCTGTGACAGCAAGAGCTGAGCCGTTGCTCTCCTAACATAGCTGAGAACGCCAGTCTCGGCTGAGGATCACTCGTGCTAGAACCGGCTTAACAGGAAATGTTCCTTTCCCTTGACTCTGTCATTCATCCTCTCTTTGTAGCCCTTCCTCATTGATGGCTTTAAGTTTGACATGCGTATCTATGTCCTGGTCACCTCCTGCGACCCCCTGAAGATCTTTGTCTATGAGGAGGGGCTGGCCCGCTTTGCCACCATGAGGTACATCGAGCCCAACAGCAGCAACCTGGTAAAGAAGCCCAGGAACTGGCATTCACTTTGTAGGAAGATAAGCTGTTGGTGTCTGATGGGGCTTTGGGAGTGCTGTCCTGGGCTGTCCTTGGACCTGCAGAGCTCCTGGGCTGGGAAGTCTGCTCCTTGAGCTGGCACAGGGCAGCAGTAAGACGGTGAAGGAATGCTGATAGACAAGAGGAGAGTTCCAAGGTCTCAAGAAGCAGAGAATCACGCTCCCCCTCCCAACATCTCTCTCACAGGATGACATCTGCATGCACTTGACCAACTATGCCATCAACAAGCATAATGAGAACTTTGTGCGGGATGACAACACAGGCAGCAAGAGGTATTGCTTGTGCCCATTTCCTTGCAGGAGGGGGGCAGCGGTTCTGCTAGTGGGCACAGCAGTGGGGGAGGGGGGAATAGGAGATCAGGTGTCCATTTGCAGGAAACTCAACTTTTTTCAACTCCATGAGTTGGCTGCTTTGAGAAAGGTTAGGCATTTGACTTATTCCATTAGAGCCATGTGTGTTGCTCCTGAAGGGGGCAATAAGGCATGCCTGCATCGTCATCGGGAAAGTCTCTGTCAGGATCTCCAACTCAGAAAGAGCTGTGGGGAACTGGGCTGGGAGAAAACTCTCTGCCTTAGAGCAAGTGGCTGCAACCAGTCAGGCCACACTGGATGAGGTGGAATATTGGCAACAGCAGGCTTCTCTGTGCATACCTCAGTGAACGTGCAGGATCTGGCTGCGCACTAAGGGAAAACAAGATTCCCTTGGAGAGGGTCTAGAATTCCCATTTGGCGTTGTTGCTCTGTGATCCTGGGGCAGGGTTGGAGTAGCAGCTCTTCCTCTCCTCACCCGACCCAATAGGAAGCTGTCCACCCTGAACGCTTGGATGCGGGAGCACAGCTATGACACAGCTGAACTGTGGCAGGACATTGAGGACATCATAATCAAAACACTCATTGCTGCTCACCCAGTTCTGAAGCACAATTATCGCACTTGCTTCCCCAACCACATCTCTGGTTGTGCCTGCTTTGAGATTCTGGGCTTTGACATCCTCCTTGACCGGAAGCTCAAGCCGTGGCTTTTGGAGGTAAGTGCCAGTCAGAAGCAGGAAGGGTTGCTTGGCAGGCCTGCCCGTCAGGTATCCCACCCTTTTGGATTACCTGCTCTAGCATCTGTTGAATTTTGAAAAAACAGGTATGGTGTCCTTACCGATTTTGAAAGTTGGGGATGTAGGACAACATTTTCAAACATCCATCAAGCAGTAGAAACAGACATTTCAAACTAAGAACACTGACCAGTCAAGTTTCTGTTGTCAGCTCTTACTGGTTGAAAATGTCAAAGCTCTTCCCATCATCACTTTCCAGCAGAAAATTTTCTGAGCGCTGCTCTTTGAGATCCAAAGGAAAGGTTTCCTCTGCCTGAAGTAATGCCCATCTTTGATTCTAACGATTATTTTCTACTAACCTAGGTTCTAAATACAGCCTTATAAGCTGTTTTTTTTCAGAAATTAAAAAAATAGATATCAGGAGAGATTTTGTGATCCTATGAAAGAGCTGGACTCCTAAGGATCCCCCAGTTCAGAAGGAACATGAGTGCTATCTTGGGGGTCTTCCATCACTCTTTCAGGTCAACCATTCCCCCAGCTTTACCACGGATTCCCGTCTGGACCGGGAAGTGAAGGATGCCTTACTCTGTGATGCAATCAATCTCATTAACCTGCGTGCCTGTGACAAGAAGAAGGTGCTGGAGGAAGACAAGAGGCGGGTGAAGGAGCGCCTCCTGCAGGCCCACCAGCAGCCCCGAGAAGCCAGGTAGCTCTGTATGCCCCAGGAATTCATGGCTGTGCAAAGGAAAAGTAGACAGGAAGCCTCATTGTTCCACTCACATCTGCCATGTTTGTGGTGGCTTTATCCAGAGCACTCCCAAGCAGTGCTGAGTTGGCATTCTCTCTCCAGCCACTGCAGGGGAGATGGTAACGCAACGGTAGAAAATCAGAACTGGAGGTGCTTCGAGTGGGATGCAGCACAGGGCATGAAGGTGCTTTGGGGCACAGTGGATCTGTGGTTTATAGCCAGCTCTTTCGTATCTTTCAGGCGTGAACAGATGGAGAGCAGCCAGGCCGCCTGGCTGGCCCAAGCCGAGAAATACGAGAACAACCACCTGGGCCACTACCGGCGCATCTTCCCCTCATGTGGCACTGAAAAGTATGCTCCTTTCTTCAAGCACAGTGGATCCCTCTTCCAAGAGACTGTGGCCTCCAAGGCTAGAGAAGAGTGTGCCAGGTAGCTGGCAAGTGGGGGCTTTTGTATCCTGCCAGGCTAATGAATTCATGATGCATGCAAGCAGGCAGACCTGTGAGGCCCTGTGTGGCTGTTGACAGGGTGACTCTTTCCTCACCAGGCAGCAGCTGGAGGAGATCCGCCAGAAGCAGGAGCAGAGGGAGAGCACGGCTGGGAGGAAGAAGAGGGAAGTCAAGGAAAGCTTACAGGGGGAATCGGCTGGAGAGAAGTCCCAGGAGAAGAGCAAGGGCAAGGCTGCCTTCACCCGAATGGCATACAGCCACAGCAAGACCTGGAGCCCCAAGGTACTTTGCAAGGATCTGTGGGCTGAGGAGGAACTTCAGCAGGGCTGGGGTGGGACACCCTCTTAGCTTCTGCGCAACAAATACATTGATTTCTGCCCAAATGAAATCCAGGCGGAGTTCCACTCAGCGCTGCATTTACTTAGGAGAAACAAAAACTCTCCTGATCCTGATCACCTTTGCCTTCAAAAGCAGCCGCCGGTTGGCTGAAATCTGATACTGTCCCTTCCCTTTCCTGGCTGGTGGCCAGTTGCTGCTCTTGTGTGATGGGCCCATGTCAAGGGCAAAGGACTCACTAGAGGCCTGTGAGTAGCAGTGCTAGGGATTGAGGGAGCATCTTCAGACTTGGAGCTGCAGAGGAGCTGGTCAGAGTGGGGCTGAGGACGACCTGAGGGGCTGAAGCTGAACCCACAGCATCAGTTCTAACCTTACAGAACCGAAGGGTCTGGTTTTGCTTTCCAGGGGAGTGTTTCAAAGTTATTTTATGTAAGCATATGTGCATTTTTGAATGAATGAGCAGTCATTCCTCTTCCCAGATGCCCTCCTTGCCGTATGACAGCATGACTCCACAAGCCATAGTGGAGGAAGAGGAAGTAGAGAGAGTCAAGGCCCTCCTGCGGCGAGAAAATCTCATCCGGGGACTGGGCATTGTTGACCAGCTGACCCGCCTGCTCCGCAGCACCGAGCCAAAGCCCATGGAAATCCAGAGGCCCCATATCAACATCTCAGAGAGCCAGGTGAACCTCTGGTACAGTCCTGCCATCCCAAGGAAGGGCTGGGAACCCGTGTGGTCCAGTGGGGAAATCATGGCAACCTAGAGTTGGGCAGGACCATTTAGGCTGTCAGATGCAACCCCTGCTCAGGGCAGGAATTCAAAATACAGCCTCCCCAGCAGTGCACTGTCTGGCCTCTGCTTAAACATGCCTGGTGAAGGGGAGCCCACCACTTCTCCTGTCAGTGAGTTTTTCCTAACTTTCAACCAGAATCTGTCTTCCTGTAACCTAAATGGATTATTCCATGTTACATCCTTTGAGGTATTTGCCAGGGCTGTTGGATTCCTCCGGTTGTCTTTGCTCAAGGCTAAACATCCCCAGATCTTTCTCTCTTCATAGGCCTCAGTTTCTGGTCCCCTGATTATATTCCCTCCCATTCTCCTCTGTGTCTGGGTGTGTTTGCTTCCTTCTTAAAGCCTGGTGCCTAGAACTGGAGGGTACTCAAAGGGGGATCTGATCAAAGCAGAATCCCATGGAAGTTTTGCTTCTGTTGATGTGACCTAATGACTGGCCTGGGACTTGGCTCTCCCCCCCCCCCCAAAAATGCAGCAATCTGTTGCCTACTTTGGAAGGGCCTAGATTTGCCCTTAATACTTTTCTGATTTGTATGTGTGTGCCTTTGAATCAGTGTTGGATTCCTGGCAACTGCCTGAACTAGTCCCTGCAGTTTCCTTGGCAAGGTTTTTCGGAAGTGGCTTGCCCTTGCTCATTTCTTCCCAGGACTGAGAGAAAGCGATTGGCCCAAGGTTACCCGGCTGGCTTCTTGCCTCAGGCAGGACTAGAACTCATGATCTCCTAGTTTCTTTTCTGGTGCCCTGACCACTGCACCAAACTGGCTCTCCTTTTCTGATTTGAGCAGCATTAAAACAATGCCTCCTGCAGTGCAAGTTGAGTCTTTGCAGAGAATCTGCTGGGAGGGGATCTTTCAGAGCCTGGCAGGTACCAATGGATGATGCAGGAAAGTCGTTTTTCCAAAACTTCAACCTGCTGTTTTTGTCTTCCAGCCTCAATTTCTCCAGGATGTGTTTAATAACTACAACACCCAGGACCTGATGACCCTCGTCCCCCTCTCCCTCCTGAGGGGCTCTGCCCAGGAGCTTGGGCACCAGATCATGCAGCAGCAACCCACAGCACGAGTCCAGTTGCTGGGAAACCAAGGCTTCATCCCAACTATTCTAGGAGCCCTGTCAGGCTTTGGCCCCCCTCACGAGCCACAGCTCCACCTCCAGTCATCCAAGAACATGAGCTGGCTTGGCACCGCCATGGTGGGCGAACCCTGCACTCTTGCTCGGATGCTGAAAGCAGGAGGGCGGCGCTTTGCCAGTGCCAAGAAGAAAGCAGAAGGCAGTGAGTAACAGGCTGGGAGCTGGGGAGCCCTGCAAAGGTCGTTTCCCTGCCTGGATTTCCAGGTCTCAGGAGAATGCAAGGGCCCCCAGACGATTGCAGACTTGGGCAAGTTTGAGGGACGTGTCTGGAAAGCACAAGCCTTGCCTTCTTTTGCCCTGTGAGGAGGAAACAATGCTGGGTCTGCAGTTTGGATCTGGATCGTGCCCTTAGTCAACCTTGGTGTAGCTAACATGGGGGCGGGCAGGGTGAAATGAGAGGCTGTGCATCTCCCTGCAGTCAGTCCTGGCTACAAGTTTATTCTGCTCCTGACCCCCAGCAACTGTTTGGGAAACAGAAAAGGGGCAAAGGTGGTTCTGGACTTCACCCAGCGGGTGAAGCTGCTGTGGAGCTCCGGGCACAGCAGAAATTAGGGTCCATTTGTAGATTTGCAGATCCCTGCCTGCTTCTGCCCGAGACCTCCAGCCACCCGCTTTCTTTTGCAGACAGCCCTTCTTCCAGCAAGAGACCCTTGTACATGAGCTCCGGCTCCCTGAATTGCCTGTCCCACAGTGGAAAAGCACCGGGCACCATATACAGCAGCTTCCCCTTCCCGTCTGTAGCAGCCCCTCTCAACCGCGCTGACGTGCACGGACTGGCCATCAACTCTGCTTCAGCCCCCCTCATCCGGCGTGGAAGTCCCCACCGCTCCACCAAGGTGGTTGCATTGCATCTCAACCAACCCAGGTAGCAGCACCCTGACTTCTCCCCCCACCCTGAGTTGGGGCTGAGCCTGTGAATCCTAGCCAGCTGGCTTTTCTTTCTGCAGGAAAGGAACTTGACTTGAAATCTCAGCGGATTATTGGAGCCCAAAGAACTGGGGCTGGGGGGCACCTACTACTGAGTCTTGCGCCAGGAGGGGCACCAGCGGAGAACGAATCTCTGCCATGGATGCATCCAGACACCTGCATCTCTTTCAGCCATTCTCCTGAAAGCGTCCACATCCACAGAGCTGTGTTTCCCCTCCAGCCAACAGCCAGTTCTGAGAACAGTTTTATGCACTTTAGTTGTATCCCTCCCATGTGCTCTCTGCATGCCAGGTTCCCGTTGCAGATGCCAGTCAGGCTGCCCAAGCCCTGGGACAATTCTTGAAAAGCCCTATGGGCTAGGAAAGGGGTTTCTTTTGTAGCCAACTTTATATTAAAGTTTTATACAGTTCTACCCGCTGGGGTTGGTCTGTCCTTTCACTTACAAGGCCCACCCTGTCATTTTTGTAGGAACCCTGACGGTGGATCAGGCAAGCTGTCTAGTTCAACCTCCTGCAGAGCTTGATAAGGGCAACAGTTTTATTATTATTGTTTTATCAAATTTATGTCTCTTTCCATCCACGCAGCCCTATGCTTTTCACAGTTGTTGGCTTTACATTTCATGATTTAGCTACTCTTTCAAAGCTTTCCATGCTGGCGGTCATCTTGTAAAAAAGGATTCACCGAATCTTATGCTGTTAAGCTTTGTTAGATGACTGTTGCTGCTAATTGGTGTGTCAATGCTTAATTTAGGATTTGCAGGATAGATACCAAAGAACAAGAACACCAAGAGAAACACCAGGACAGTGACAAGCTTTGAAGAAATTTTATGAAGAAATTGTCCCCGAATGTACTCACAGTGCCAGGGAATCCCTCCTTAATCTGCCAGGTGAGCCCAAACAGCAAGAACAACTCACCAAGGGGTTACTTTTGTTGGGCAAGTTTTACAGTCCTGCAATCTCTCTTTTCCTCTCCACCCCTGGAGTTGCTCAATTTAGGCATCAGCAAAGGGAGGTTAGATATTAATGAGGATTAAGTATCTGGCAGGCCCTGGGCGGCTGCTATGACAAAAGAGGGGAATAATGATCTCATTGGGGCTAGAGCTGGAAGTTTGTTATCTCACAGCTGGCAAGAGTAAATAGGAAGGGCTAGCTTGTCTAAGCAGCCTCTTCCAGATGTTAATTGGAAAATGCAGGTCAATCCCAACCCTCCTCCATTTTTCCCTAGAGTGCTAAGGGCAGGGGTGGATTTTGTTCCTTAAACAAGGCCCCGGAAGCTGTTACTGTTGAGGTCAACTCCAGAGTTTATAGACCACGGAGGGAACTGAAAACCAGGTCTCTCTAAGGGGAGACCAACTTCCCTTTGCCCAGTCAAGCAAAATGCTTCATCTAAGTTAGCCAGAAAAATAACTAGTGCTTGAACCCCTCTTCCTAAAGGGTTTTAGCTGGACAACGCAGATGCTGATGAGCTTTCATCCATTCTGCCAGTGGATACAAGAGGCTTTTCAGGCAAAAAGGAAAGCAAAGAGTAGCTTCACCTGCACAGAGATGGTGTTTTCCAGGCCGGGCCCTGTTTTTCCCCAGATCAGCTGCCTGGCAGCCTCTCTCTGGGATGTGGCATGAGGTCACTTTGATCACTTCTCTTAGGGACACCATTCTGCCCCTAATGGGCACAGGGTGGGGGCGAGGAACTTCCTTTCCATTCTTCGTTTTTTATTGTCCAGCCAATAAGCGATCCGGCAGAAGATCGGTGTCCTCTGCCTGTTTCCTTAGCTTGGAGCCCTGCAACTGAAGCCTTGTGCTACGGCCTCCTTACCCACCTGTTGTGGCAAACGGGACAAAAATTAAATATACGGCTGGAGAACAATCAAATGATATTTGGGTAAGGCTCAATCAAAACTCCAGCCAAGCTTTGTCCTGACGCTACTGTCACTCTCCGGAGGCGTCCCAAAGACAGACTTCCAGCCAGACAAAACAGATTGGCCTCTCGGGACTTTCAAATGGCTTATTAACATCGGACGCGTGTACAAACACGTTAAATGCAACATAAACCATGGAACCAAGAGCTACACCGTAAAGCAACACGGAATCCCCAACTCATCCAGCCCACCCAGTTCGCGCAAGATCCGCCGCCTGCTCGGGGCGGGTTCCGGCGCCCCGCCTCTGCGGACCCCCTCTCGGAGGCCGAGGCGCGGCCAGGCTGCAAAGGCGCTCCGCCCCGCCCCAAGCGGAAGCCGCCCCCGGCCTCGGGAGCCAGAAAGGCGGAAGCGGAGAACTGCAGGACGCCGCCCCCGGGGCGCCCCCCGCGATCTGCTCCTCCGCCGGGTTTTGCGGGCGATTCCGGAGCAGCGGAGGCGCAGGGGCGCAGCCGCGACC